CTGTTGGAAACAGGTTTTCTAGCCCTCATCCTCAGAAACTCCAGACTTAAAGGGTCTACAATTGAGGCTTTGAAAGCTGTGTTTAAAAAACATTCCCAGGTGATTGCTCTGCAGGTGCTCTGTGAACTGCACACGGTGCTTAGGGAGACGCCGCCTCGGACAGTGCCCAGGTGTCTGCCAAGAACTTAGTGGTCGGAGCTGGTAGAGGCCATCGAGACCCTGGATGAGGAGCCCAAAGTCCAGAGAGTGGCAGGGCTGGGACAACAACACAAATCTCCTCACCTTTAGTCCATCTTCTCACAGCCCCCAGCAGCCCCCAGACACTCGTATGTTCAGCTGCTCAATTATTTACTCAGCCATTTGTATAAACAACGTCACCAAAGCCCTAGTCAGAGATAGTTCCCCCTCCTTAGGGGTTTGTGCTGGCACAAGGATGATACGTCAGTGCTGGGTCCCTATAAGCTGCAAACAGAGGGTAGAACTGGCCAGAGACACAAGGAGAGGGACCTGGGCCTGGCATACCCTACACCCTTACCCACACTCTCCCCGAGTACCCAGGCAGGACAGGCTGCCCCCAAGCGCTTGGCATGAGCTGAAAGGCTGAGAAGACAGGGCCCTGGGGTGCTCACTCCAGTCTGCACTCTGGGGGCCTGTGCTCTAATAGAGACTCATGAGGCAGCAGTCTCTCTGCTGTTCTCCATACTCCACCACGGGGGCGTGGGGGGAGGGGGGTGCATACCCGCCCAGCCTGCATGCTGCTCTCTGATGAAATCTTTTCTCTTTAAGGTTGGCCTTGAAATTGCTTTTAAGCCTGATTCACCTGGCAACAATATTGGGAGGCCAAGAGAATCACACTGATTTGCCGCTGGCCCAGGCCTTCCTCCAGTGAGAGTTCCCTGCCCTGTCACCACTGCCCAGAGGCGGAGGGAAGGCCTAAAAATCAGGGAGCAGTAGCAGGTCCCCACCACCTCCCACTGTCTCCCTCACTCTAGAAAGGATGAAGGAGACAGGACCTGCTCAAAGCCAGGCCTGGTGCCTGGAGCCCTCACCCCCCCATTTCAATCCCTGGTGAAGCAGTGGGAAGGGGCCAGCAGTGGCTGCCCCCAGGCCCCTGGCCCATTCCTCAGGCCCACTGTGGCCCCACCTCTGTGCAGCCTTCCTTCTGGAATGACTTGTTCCTTTGACTCACACCCTTCCTGTCAGCACCCTTAGAGCGTCATCTCTCCGTCCTGATTTGTGGAATGGTTTGTGAGTGCTCGCTTGTTCCTTCTGTGGGACTGTTTGTCCCTGAGGCAGATGCCCCCCGCCCAGCTCCCTCACCCCCCAGCACTCAGCTCCAAGCAGGGCACAGAGCAGGTGCTTGCTCCTTCTCTATTGGGTGATCAATTGGGGAAGCAGCTGGGGGTGCAAGTATGTCCTCTGAATCAGGAAACCTGCCTATGGGCTTTGCTCTGAGCCCCAGAGGGAAGACTGGACCGAAGGAAGAGGCCTTGGCCTCTGTTGTTCATTGTGTGTGTGTGTGTGTGTGTGTGTGTGTGTGTGTGAGAGAGAGAGAGAGAGAGAGAGAGAGAGAGAGAGAGAGAGAGAGAGGCGGGGGGTGATGGGGGCTCTGCCTTTCGTAGACTTGGAAGGAGAAGGTGCAGGTGGTTGCTGAGACAGCTGCTCCTCCCTTCTTGGTACACGTGAGCCCTGGTGCACATGTGTGCCCCAGGGGAGGTGGTGGGAGGGAGTTATTATGAGACAGGCCCTGCAGATAATGTTCAAGATTCAAGGCCCTGCTGTTGCCATCCTGAGGAGAATTATGGCCCTGGTGAGAGGGGAGGAAGTGGTGTGGGGACACTGGAGGACTGAGGCATAGGGCTGTTGCTGATGTCAGAGGCAGCCATTGACTCAAAGGAGGAGGGTGTTGGTGACCTCCCCCAGGCCAAGGCTTTCTTCTCTTCCTCAGGCCGCATGACTGTTAACTCTCACTGTTTCTCTGACTAAGGTGGGGAGAGAGGCATGGGAATTTCCTCTGGTTCTGGATGTCATCTGTATCTGGCTTTGCTTCTTAAGGGCAGAGCCCCCCAGGAAGATCAGATGGACACAACTGGTCAGAAGGAAGATACCAGAGATCTGGCTGAGGCTTTGCAGAGTTTTGGAGAGGAAGGCCGGGGGCCAGGGGAGGGAGACAGGGTGAGCAGAAAAGAAGACTCCACTCATTCATTCATTCATTCATTCAACAATCCTTTATTGAGTATCCACTGTGGCTCTACAGCTATGAGGAAAATGAACCATATGATCCAATATGGAAAGTTGTAGAGCAGATGAGGGGTTTTGGAAGTACAAGGGATGGAACACCTAATTACACAGGGAGAGGGAGGAGTGTTATGGACGGCTTCTGGGAGGAAGTGACATGAGAGCTGCGTGTAGGAAGTGCAAGAAGGAGTTAGCCAGGTTTGAGATAGAGGATGGAGTGTGGGTGTCCCAGGAAGAACAAATGGCCAACAACATGGAGAAGGGATCTGAGGGTTGAGAGCTGGCTGTCCTGGGGAACTTTGGTTGTTCAGCCATGGAATTGTAGGTTGTGGTGGAAGATTAATTCCTCTGCAGGTTCCTGAGCGTTGAGGAGAGGGACCTTGAACCTGTCTGGGCCCTGGCTCAGAGCAGGTGAGCACTGGGCAACAGCACCTGCCTTTGGGTTGGTTGGGATGGTAGTGAGGATGCTGTGAACTGGAGCGGAGAAAGCACAGGTTTTGTATTCGGAGACCTTCAGTCCTGGTTCCACCACTTACTTTATGGTTGGAGTCGCTCACATCTTCAATCTCAACTTTCTTATCTGTAGAATAGAGAGATGTTTTGTTTTCCTTTTTGTAATCCTTTGGGGAGGAGTTATATGGCTTAAATGAGGTAATAATACATCAAGACCCCATAAAATGAAATCTGGACTTCTCAGCCCAGTCTCTGGGCCTCTGAATTCTCACCCTGGCTTTCCCCTCCAGCCACTCTTAGCATTGTGCTGAGGTGACTGCCTACGGTCTGCCCCATGCATGCCTTCTCCTCATTCAAGGCAGCTCACAGTGTTACCTGTCCTCAAGGGCTTCCCTTTGGGCCCCACATCACCCTACTTCTTTTTTCTAGAATATATTTTTATTGATCTCAGAGAGGATGGGAGAGGGAGAAATAGAAACATCAATGATGAGAATCATTGATTGGCTGCCTCCTGCATACCCCCTACTGGGGATCGAGCCTGCAACCTGGGCATGTACCCTGACCAAGAATTGAACTGTGACCTCCTGGTTCATAGGTTGACACTCAACCACCAAGCCACACTGGCTGGGCTCACACCCTACTTCTTAATTAGAATTCAATACTTTCCCCTTTGGGCCTCCTTGATAGATGTTTGTCACAGTATCAATAACACTATTGCCCATTTCTCTGCTCCTGTCTCCCCCTCCTCCATTTTTTAAGAGATTTAATTTTTTAGAGTAGTTCTAGGTCAGCAAAGTTGAGAGGGAAGTACAGATATTTGATATTTCCTTATACCCCCTCCCCCACACAGTTCCCTATTTTTTACATATCTGTAAACTCCATAAGGACTTGCATTTTTCCAAGTTTTTTTTAATATCTAGCACTTAGCACAGTGCCTGATCATTAATAGACACTGAATAAATCCTATATAATAAAAGCCTAATATGCTAAGTGTTTGGTCAGCTGTCCAACCAATCAAAGTATAATATGCTAATGATATGCTAAGGCCACTCAACTACTCACTATGATGTGCATTGACCACCAGGGGGCAGATGCTCTGACTGGTAGGTTAGCTTGCTGCTGGGGTCCAGCTGATCAGGACTGAGCAAGAAGGGCTGGACATGCCCTGGAGCCCTCCTGCAGTCCCTCCCTGGCTGGCCAACCTCCCTCGTCCCTCCCCGGCCCTAATCATGCACCGCTGGGGTCCCTTGGTCTGACTGCTGGCTCCCTGTGGGGAGCAGGCCTAAGCCATCAGTCAGACATCCTGTGAATTTCATGCACCAGGCCTCTAGTGTTTAATAAATTATTGGAAAGTAGAGAACCTGGTACTTTATAGATTCTCAATAACTGTTGATTTTTTTTACACCTCTTAAGGGTGGCCAGCCTGGAGGTGAGGGCAAACCTTGGACTGCTTATAAGGTATTTGCTTTTTTAAAAAAAATTATTTTTTGATTGATTTCAGAGAGGAAGGATAGGGGACAAGAGAGATAGAAACAGCAATGATGAGAATCACTGATTGGCTGCCTCCTGCACACCCCCTACTGGGAATCGAGCCTGCAACCCAGGCATGCACCCTTGATTGGAATCGAACCCAAGACTTTTCAGTCCGCAGGCAGATGCTCTATCCACTGAGCCAAACAAGCTAGGGCTATTTACTTATTTAATATTGAGAGAATAGAGTGTTTTCCTCCATTGTGAGAAGGCAGCAGAAAGTTAAGGCAAGTTTGACTACTTGGATTGGAAGTAATTATTATTTTTTTAAATATATTTTTTATTGATTTCAGAGAAGGCAGAGGGAGAGAGAGATCTAGCCTGCAACCCAGGCATGTGCCCTGACTGGTTATCAAACCATGACCTCCTGGTTCATAGGTTGACGCTCAACCACTGACCCACGCCAGCCAGGCTGGAGGTAATTATTGATTATCTTCCCTTATAATACATTTATGTAATCCAGCACGCAATTCCTTAATCTGAGTTGGTCACCATCATTTCACAGATATTACTCTTATTTGTACAAGGGTGACTGTAAGTACAAGTTCACTGAGGGTATGGTAAGGGAGAGAGAGATAGAGACAGAGGAGAGGGAAATACCATTGGCTGCCTCCTGCATGTGCCATACCAGGGATCAATCCAACAACCCAAGCATATGCCCTGATTGTGAATCGAACTGGCAACCCTTTGGTGCATGGGATGACACCCAACCAACTGAGCCACACTGGCCAGGGCAGGAAGTGCTACTTGAAAGAGGTAGTCAGGGAAGGTGAAAGTTGAGCAGAGATCTGAGGATTGTGAGGGCAGGACCCTGCAGCTATCTGGGGCAAGCATGTTCCAAGCACAGAGAACCACAAATTCTAGCCCCATCCAGGGCACAGGTGATTTTCAGGGGGTGAGGTGAAAGATGGGGAATGGACATATACTTTTCTTTCCTATTTGTAATAGCATATAACAATTTACTACAAAGGCAGTTTTTTGAATGTTTCTGAACAGCTACCGATAAATATATTTTATATATGCATGTATACATTTTATGTAATGCACTCTATATTCTATTCCAATTTTTAATTTTTAATTATGTATTTTAATCCTCGCCCGAGAATATTTTTTCCATTGATTTTTAGAGAGAGTGGAAGGGAGGAGGGAGAGAGAAACATTGATGTAAGAGAGACACATCAATTGGTTGCCTTCTGCACCTGCCCCAACTAAGGCTGGAGATGGAACTTGCAACCCACATATGTGCCCTTGACCGGAATCAAACCCGCTACCCTCTGGTGCACAAGCCAACACTCTAACCATCGAGCTATGCTGGTCAAGACTATGTTTCTCTTGATGAGAGAGAGAGAGAGAGAGAGAGAGAGAGAGAGAGAGAGAGAAGAGAGAAACATCGATCAGTTGCCTCCCATATGTGCCCCAACCAGGGATTAAACCTATAACCTAGGTATGTGTCCTGACCTGCAATCTTTTGATGTATGGGACAATACTTCAATCAGCAGAGCCACCTGGCCAGGGGCTATTCCAATTTTAAATGCTGGTTATAACTCACTAAATTCATATCAAGACCTAGTAGGTTACAACCTAGGTTTAAATTAAGATGATCATGTTCAGTCTCATTGGCAAAAACTTGACCTCTCCCGGGTTTAACCTAGTCCTAACAGATTGTGTCACTGTTAGGAGTCCTTGCATTGGTACAACACATGTGCATTATATCACCGATGTCATTCCTGCTCAGCTCACATTAACTCCTAGGTGATGTAGGAGTTAGACTCTTTCCTGTCACTCTTTCCTTGATTATGAGCAGGGTTGGTTAGCTTCAAGCTGGAAGGTTGGTTCAGCATTAGTGCATCAGCCTGCAACATCTACAACCAAAATGCCTTATTTGTACCTCACGGGGAATGCTGGCTCCTAATGAGAAAGGAAATTGGATGTTTATCTTTTTTAGTATGACTTAGGTGAGAAAATGCCCCACAGACACACAGACACATAGACACACACACGTATGTATGTACAATTTCTTTTTTGGGGCGGGGAGTCAAGGGGTGGGGGACTGCTCATTAATTGCCTCTCCTATTTTCTTGCCAGGTACAATTCCTGGGATCCATTTCTTGAGCTGTGCAGTGCCACCATGAATATCATCTATGAATCTGAGACAAGAGGTTGGAAACTGCTCACAGTAGGTGTATCCACTCTGCCTGCTGGCTTACGCTCTCTGCTGTCTGCACTGCCCTCTGCCTGGGACTGCCAGCCAACACTTGTAGACCATTTTTCTGTCTTCACCTCTGTGCAATACCTGTGGGGTTCACGTTGACACGGCTTCCCTGAGGAACCTTCCATAATAGACAGTACAAAGGTATCTGGCTATTGTTAGGTTTTCAGGGCCTTTTGGGAGTTTATCAGACTTGGGGAGGGAAGCAGATAGTGTGGTTTAAACTTAGCTAAGAGCATGCAATGTAAGATCAAAGGCCAAGGAAAGGGAAAGAGACCAGCTGGAAGAGTAAGAGATACGCTGCTATACTCAAGTATATCAGAATAAAGATGGCCAGGAAAGGGGTTTCGGTAGATCTTCCTCATTTGTCTTCCTTGAAAGCAGTCTCATGGGAACCCCTATTGGAAGAAACTATTAAAAAATAAAACAGGCCCTGGCTGGTGTGGTTCAGTTGGTCGGAGCATTGTCCCATACACCAAGAGTTGCAGGTTCAATTCCCCATCAGGGCACATACCCAGGTTGCAGGTTCGATCCCTGGTCAGGGGGTGTGCCTCCCCGTTCCTCTCACTAAAATCAATTAAAAAATGAAAAAGATAAAATGAAGGTACAAATAGGAAAAAAAGCATGATTTCAGTGTCTGCAAAAATCCTGGGCTGTGCAGAGCTGAGGGCAAGCCACTTCATTGAACATCCTGGTGACGAAGAGGAAGGAAGCTGGTAGTCTAGTTTTATTTGTGAGGTCTAATTCTTCGATGCTGCCTGCATGACAAAGGTCTAAAAACAATGACCCAAACCTTGCTATGATTGGGAAATTGTTAGAATTCAGTCTCTTTTCCTCCTTTAACATAATAAATTATAACTCCTGTTATTGTGTTTGAAGTTGAAGAAGGTTGAAAAAATTAGATAACTAGAGTCCAAATTTCTTGAAGGATCAAAAGTTCTGAAACAGTGGTGCTTAAAAAAGCAAATGCTGTAATCCTGCTGACTCCCAACAAATATTATCTAGTTAGACATGTTTTTCAAAAGGTGGTGATGGTGTTTTTCTCCCTTTGTATGAGTAGTTAAAAAATTCTGGTTATTAAATGGTTTGAGGCACAACACACTTGATAATCATTAAGTACAGCTGTTTCTTCACAAATTATGTTAAAATCAACTCAGTGATGAAGAGCTCAGCAATCAAATGGTTTATAGGCATCTGGGGCAGTTTTAAAAACACCTGAGCTCATAAAATGTTAAGTCTATGTAATGCTATAAAATAATTCAGGGGGAATGTATATAAATCTTATGAAAAGGACATCTTTGCTCAACAGATTATGAAAATGAAATGCCTGTAATAATTCCAGTTAAAAAAACCCTGAGAATTCAGAAGAGAGACTTGCTCAAGCCCAA